TTCCGTACTCTATTAATACGAACAGAGTTTGCTCCCTTTACCCCCCTTTGGTTAAAGCACTATCTATTGTAAAAGCTTTCGGAGCCTGATTTAGGGTTTGTGATTTAGGGAACGGCTGAAGCTGTGGAACCCGGGCTGCACCTCCGTATTTGTTCCACTTGAGAGAATCGCTCGCTGCGTCCGCGGGGAGCGCCCCGTCCTGGGGTAAAGGTTAACTGCGCATAAATCCAAGGTCTGCTCGCGGCTGACCTTTAGCCATCTCGTTAGCATTTCTGACAGAATCTTAAAATAAGGTTATTCCATAAAATAGCTTGATTCTGCATCCCCGAGCCCAGATTTGTTGCTCCGTCAGGAATACCTTCCAGCTGGACAGAGCCGCCAGCGCCTGCAGTGAAACGATGAGCCATTGAGGGAGTGAAAAAGTGAGGGGGTCCATGGAAAGCAGCTCTGGGTGCAGGGCCTGACCCCTCACAGCCTGGGGCACGGCCTCAGCCATCCCACTGGGCCTCCCCAACCCCACAGCTTCTCTCTTTTTTAAATCCTCACCATAGGGTATTTTTTCCATTGCTTTTTAGAGAGTGGAAGGGAGAGGGGGAGGGGGAGAGAGCGAAACATTGATGTGAGAGAGACAGACCGATTGGTTGCGATTGGTTGCCTCCCACACGAGCCCCGACCTGTAATGGAAATTGAACCTGCAACCCAGGTCCATGCCCTTGACCGGAATCGAACCCTGGACCCTTCGGTGCATAGGCCGGCACTCTAACCACAGAGCCACCCCGGCCAGGGCTCAGCTTCTCTCTTTAAGAGCACAACACTCACCTTGGATTTAGGTTGAACTTATACGTAAATTTAGGCAGAATCGCCATCTTTATAAGTCCGAGCCAGCCCGCCCACGAGTAGAGTCGGTATAGGCATGTATTCCTAGATGGTTCCTAGACGGCTCCTAGATGATTCCTAGACAGCTCCTAGACGGCTCCTAGACGAATCCTAGATGGTTCCTAGACAGCTCCTAGACGGCTCCTAGACTATTCCTAGACGGCTCCTAGATGATTCCTAGACGGTTCCTAGACGGCTCCTAGACAATTCCTAGACAACTCCTAGATGATTCCTAGACAATTCCTAGATGGCTCCTAGACGGCTCCTAGACGGTTCCTAGACGGCTCCTAGAGGGCTCCTAGATGATTCCTAGACTCCTAGACAACTCCTAGACTGCTCCTAGACGGCTCCTAGACGAATCCTAGATGATTCCTAGACGGCTCCTAGACGATTCCTAGACGGCTCCTAGATGGCTCCTAGACGGCTCCTAGATGAATCCTAGACGGTTCCTAGACAATTCCTAGACGGCTCCTAGACGACTCCTAGACGGCTCCATCTGCGCGGAGCATTCATCAGTAACCTTTTATAATTATCCCCGTAACTCTTACATGTTGGTCATTAGTTTTAGTACNGACGACTCCTAGACGACTCCATCTGCGCGGAGCGTTCATCAGTAACCTTTTATAATTATCCCCGTAACTCTTACATGTTGGTCATTAGTTTTAGTACCACCTTAGTGTGGGGTTGTTTTGCTTCTTTTATTGCTGTTGTGAACATTTAAAAAATATTTTCTAAGTCGTTTTTTAATGACACATAGAAATGCTATTATTATTCATTTATGCAGCGATTTTTCTGAGCTCTCTCACTAATTAAACTCGCTTGTAGACTCCCGGGGTGACCACGTGGACAGCCACGTCACTCTCAAGTGAGGGTTCTGACTCTGCTCTTCTAACCTTCATACATGGTTTCCTTATATTTCCGTGTTAGCTGGAACCTCCAGTACAATTTTGAATAAAAATGTTGGAAACAGTCTTCTTGTCTCCTTTCTAACTGTGCAGAGAATGTCCCTAAAGCTTCACCACGAAGCATTGATATTTGCTTAGAGTTTTTATTTTCTAATGAATGATTTTTATCAGGTGCTTTATCTGCATCTGTTAAGATGATTTCATTTTTCCCCCTTGAATAAAACATTTAAACATGTTGTTGAAACATCCTGGTATTTCCGCAGTACTCAGCCTATGTGGCCGTGATTTTTAACTTCCTGCTGAATTCCATTCGCCTTGTACTTTATTTTGACTCGGTGACATCGGACTGTCATCATCTGGTTTTAGTGTCGAGGTTATGCTGGCCTCGCGGAGTGAGTTGTGTGGCTTTTTTTCTATTCTTAAAAAGAGTCTGGATAAGTGGATGTCTTTCTACCCTTTTAAGGTTAAGTAATTTCATTGTGATTCAATTATTAATACGTTGTTATTTCCACAATGATTTTCTCTTTGATCTCGAAGTGATTTAGAAGTGTTTTTAAATTTCTAAATGTGTGGAGTTTAAAAGCTTGGCTGTCTTTTAGTTAATAATTTGTTATTTAATTTTATTCAGAAAATCTGACAGGCATTACGTAGACATTTGGGAAATTTCATGAGACTTACTCTGTGGCTTATCACTCAGTTTCTAAACCATCTCACGTACGCTTGTAAAGAATGTGTCTTAGCTTACCTAATGCCAAGTTTTATGTAGGTCCGTTAGGAGTAATTTAAGAGTAAAAGCAAAACCTAAATTAGAGGTTAGTTAGGAGATCCACTGTTGGCCTTCGTGTGTATGTGCGTCACATGGTGACCACGATCCCTTCGACTTCTACAACATTGCTGGCTTTGTTTGCTCACTTAAATTTACAAAAGGTCATTTTAATTGTTTATTTAGCAATAAACCTTTTTTTTCAGTTTTTTAAAATTATTTTGCTGTTAAGATAACTAATATTTTAAACAAATGTTGCACTTTACCATGTCTTTATAATTAACATAAAAATAGTTTTAAAACTTTATAAAATTGGGGAATCTTTCTTTAAAGTCTATGCAAGAAATTCATAATTAAAAGAAAGCTACCTGAAGTGGGACAGAGAGCAAGGGCTGCTTTAGACATCAGCTAAAATTATGGGGCAATACACTGATCCTTGCATATTAACTATAAAAGCATCAAGTGCTTTTACTCACAGAATTTCTCTTTTTTTAAAAAAAAACTAAGTTTTCTTACTTTTTAAAGATCATGTAGTACCTGCAAACCGATCTCTAAATCTTACAGTGACCTTGGTCAAAAGCAATAAAACTCTAACTTGACCTAGGCTCTCAAACATAACATTTCATCCCCACAGCAAATGTGTAAGGTAATAACGTCACACTGAAAGGCCAGAAACGCAATGAGATGAGTGGTTTTCATTAAAAAAACTCAATCAGAAGCTCACTCTTACACTTTCCATATCTGTGCCTCCGTTAGCAAATGAAACGTCGCTGAGGAAACCTGTTTCCATGAGTCCTAGGTAATTCCAGGGGTCTTGCCTAGAGTCACCATCGGAAAAAGTGTACTTATCTATTAATATATGATGGCCCTATTTGGACTTATTCTGACTTTCATAGAATAAAGCTTTAACTCCCGGCTTTCCAACCATCGAGGCGGCTGTGGATGTATTGCAGGACCTGCAGACCTCCTGCTTGGGAAACTAGAGCATTTGATTAACTGAGACTCGCAGTAAACACTCAGGAACCTGATGGAGTGGTTACCGGTTGCTCAGACCCAGGAGCAGCAGGCATGTGGCCGGAGACTCCAGAACCTTCCAGCTGAGAGGGAGCCGCGGGGTAAAAGCCTGATAATATCACAGGGACTTTCTCTACGGTATCGATGGGTCCTCACTTAATTATAAGGTGATAACTAGACGCCGGGGACATTCATAGGGACTTGGAAACAAGGAACATTTGCGCCCGTTACCAGGAACGCTGCATGCTTCGCTCTGTAGGCCTGTTGTATCCCCAATCCGAGCCTACGAGCTTCTTTCATCCATGACGTCGCTGTCACTCCTGTCACCTCGCGGGTGGTAAGTCAGGTCACGGATGCTCTAGACAGTGGAGGACCCGGCTAGAACAAATCCCCTACATGTGAACAGATCCCAACACGCCACCCCTGCTCCCAGCTCTGTAATTCTAGTCCCCATTTCCCGTCGGGCCCGGCGCTGCCGCAAAGGTCAGGACAGGAGGCCGGGGGCGTCAGGTGGATAAGAGGTGCCCTGTCCTCAGAAGAAGCAGACGAGAGAGTGAGGCTATTTTGACTTGGAGGCGTCCGTGGTCTGCTCGGGGTTCGGCCCACTGTGTGTCTTTCCCATTTTTTCTTGATGACGCCAACATTCTAATTGTCACCAAGGCTCCAGACACAGCCTTGGGGTCAAGTTCCCCTCTCACTCTCGGTCACAGGGATGTGTCATGCGCACGGCCTGTTAGGCTCTTGTCGGAAACCCCTTGCTAATCTCCTCGGGCTGCGTTGTTCCTGTCTGTTGTCCTTCTAGTCTTACGTCTGACTTCAGCAGACGTACCGTGCGGTTCCCAAGTCCTCCCCATCGCTGCGTGTGTGCCGGATGGTGAGAAGCTCACCGGCACAAAACAAAAGGCAAGCCTGGAGCACACCCCAGGGCGTGGCCCATGTGGATTAGTTATGACTCTGATCTGCTATGATTTAAAGGCCCACGATTTTGCCCTGTCCAGTTTGCCTGGCGGTTAGAGTGTTGGCCCGTGGACTGAAGGGTCATGGGTTCGAGTCTGGCCAAGGGCACATGCCTTGGTTGCAGGCTCGATCCCCGGTCCCCGCCAGAGCTCGTGCGGGAGGCAGCCCATCGATGTGTCTCCCTCACGTCGATGTTTCTCTCTCTCTCCTTCCCTTCCACTCTCTCTCTCAAAAAGCCATGGAAGAAATATCCTCGAGTGACAATTTAAAAAAATTTAAAATTAAAAATAAATAAAGATCGATATTTCGGCCGCATTGCCAATAGACCTAAGATGCGACGACATACTGCAGGGCGCCAGGGGACGGGTGGGTCAGGCCCTCGGAGGTTCGGAAGAGCCCCCATCCCGAGCTGTGGCCCGCCGTGGCTGGTCCGCGCGCTGCCCAGCGCTGTTTTCACGCGGCCTGCGTTCCGTCTGTCTGTCCAGGTGGAGATTGAGAAGCTGGACTACCACCACTACCTGCCTCTGTTCTTCGACGGGCTCTGTGAAATGACATTTCCCTACGAGTTCTTCGCCCGGCAAGGAATCCACGACATGCTGGAGCACGGAGGGAACAAGATCCTCCCTGTCATCCCACAGCTCATCATTCCCATCAAAAGTGAGTGCGCGGGAAC